ACGTGAACAGTAACTCCACTTCCACAAATTGGCCAAACCACTAGCTAATTCACGGGATTTTCTCCAAAAATCACACAGTAGTCAATTAACACTCAATCACATAAATCCCACTTGAATCAAGCTAAATCATGGTCTAATTACTATCAATTTCATCCCCATTTTTCTAGCAAAATTCGGACACACAGGGGCAGCCAATAAAGGGACAATTTCAAGCTTAAATGGCTGTCACATACCAGAATTTTCCAGCAAGAACCGGACCTAGCAGGGGGAAGAAGCCGGCAGCAGTGAAAGGGAGAAACTCACGGATCTACCCAAAATTGGAGGAACAAGAGCAATTAAAGTTAACCCAAGCCAATTCAAGGAAAAACAAAGGGATTTAATGGCTGTTTCTTACCCAAAACCCAAGCAATTCGCCCCCACAACAAGAGCAGCCGGCGGACAGAGCAAAGCAGAGCATATCCGGTTTCTGCAGAGAGGGAGGGGAAATTTCTGGGTTCTTTATGGGTTCTAGAACAAGAAAGGAATGGGAAAATACCAAGCTTCCTTACCAATTTTCCAAGGCATGGCTGGGTTCCCCTTTTTTTTCTTTCGAGTGGCTGCAGCGGGAAGAAAGGAGAAGAAGAGCGGAATCGGGCAAGGCTGGGAAAAAAAGAAAGAAAGAAAAAAGAAAAAGAAAAGAAGTCATCCTTATCCAAAATCTTTCCCTCTTTAAGTCCCTCAACTTTTGAAATATTCACATTAGGCCCCAAAACAATCTTTTCTCACAATCAAGTCCCTAACTTACACTTAAATATTCCCGAAAATTTGGGATATTACACAGTGTGATGTGCATTCTGCTAAGCTTATACCAAGAAAGTCTTTGTGCTATCTTCCAATTATTCCTAGACTTCAGAGATTGTATATGTCTAGGAAAACTGCCGAGCATATGACCTGGCATTTAAATTGTTATAATGAAATGAGAAAATTTTTCATCCTACATGTGGAGAGGCGTGGAAGCATTTTGATAGCACTCACCCTAAGTTTGCTAGTGAACCGAGGAATGTTAGGTTAGGTCTGTGCACTGATGGGTTCACTCTTTTTGGACATTCTGCATCTCCATACTCTTGTTGGCCAGTATTTGTGTCAGTTTATAGCCTACCTCCAACAATGTGCATGAAGCAAGAATATGAATTCCTTTCATTGATTATCCAAGGTCCCCAAAGTCTTGGAAAGAATATTGATGTAATGCTTCGACCACTAATCGATGATTTAAAGCAGCTTTGGTATTCTGGAGTCTAAACTTATGATAGCTTTAGGCATCAATACTTTCTGATGAGGGCTGTACTTATGTGGATCATTAGTGACTTACCTAGGTATGGAATGTTGTTTGGGTGGAGCACACATGGTAAATTAACTTGTCCTTGTTGCATGGAAAATTCGAAGGCCTTTTGGTTGGAACACGGTCAGAAGACATCATTTTTTGATTGTCATCAACAATTTACGCCACCAGATTATCCATTTAGAAGAAACAAGAATGACTTCATAAAGGGTCGTACAGAGAATGGAACAATGTCAGAGAGATTATCTGGTGATGAGATGCATAGTTGCATCCATTGGCTGCCTGATGTACTATTTGGTAAGCCACCTCAAAAACAAGAAATCCACGGATTTGGTGAAGTGCACAATTGGGTTAAAAAAAGCATCTTTTGGGAATTACCATATTGGCACACAAACTTGATTCGACACAATTTAGATGTCATGCACTGTGAGAAAAACTTTTTTGACAATATCCTTCATACAGTAATGGATGACCCTATGACAAATGATAACATAAATGCAAGACTTGATCTGGAATTGTATTGTAAAAGGAAAAGTCTGCACATACCGAAAACATGAGTGAATTTGGGTAAAAAGCCAAAGGCCACTTATGTTCTTAGTAGGGATCAAAGAAAATCAATATGTCAATGGTTGAAGGAACTTAAATTCCTTGATGGATGTGCCTCCAATATATCTCGTTGTGTCAATACACAAGAGGCACGATTATTCGGTATGAAAAGTTACGACTATCACATTTTCATGCAAAGCCTTATACCAATTGCATTTCGTGATTTATTACCGAAACAAGTTTAGGAGCCACTTGTTGAGATTAGTGAGTTCTTTAGGGCCTTGTGTGCTCCGGTGATTCAGGTCAATGACATGGCAATATGGCAGGAAAGGATAGTAGAAATCATTTGTAAGCTAGAGCAAATCTTTCCACCTTCATCCTTTGACAGTATAGAGCATCTTGCAATCCACCCTTCCATACGAGACTCGTGTAGAAGGACCAATGCAATTTTGATGGATGTATCTATTTGAGAGGTAAATATAATTAATGTATAATATATGAAAATAAATATAACTCCAAATATGATATTTTGTTGCATTGAGGTTATAATACTAATTTGGTACTTCAACTTTCAATTTTATATCAAAGCTACCATTGAACTTAAAAAAGAATTAAAAATGGTCCTTTCAAGGACCATTTTGAAACTTTTTAAAACTTTTGGGGTATATTTGACATAAACTTAGAAGTTGAGGTACCAAATTAGTATTTTAATCATAACATAATTATATAATAATTCTTGGTGAATCAAGCAAATGCATTGTCTTAAGTTGACAGTGAAAAACAAAGCGCGTCATGAAGCATCCATATGTGAAAGTTACATAATGTTTGAGATCACAAATTTTATCTCTCATTACTTTGATGATGGAGTACATAGTACAGTTGATAATCCCCCTAGGAATATTTTTGTTGGATTTGGTTATAATAGTGGCCTGTCCATCTTTAAATGTGTTGGAAAACTTATTGGTTCCAAAATTGGAAGACGTTGGTTAACGGTAAAGGAACGGAAAGCTGCTTCGTATTATGTGTTAATGAATTGCGAAGAATTGCGAGGATGGGTCAAGTAAAAAACCTACACTAAAATCTGTAATTTGTTATATTAAGATTTATTGAAATTAAAATACTAACAATATATAAAAAACTATTATCATACTTCTAGTTTATTTGAGAGAGAACAATGTCAAAATATGAATCCTCAACAAATTCAAGCAAAACGAGAGAGAGACCTTGTGCCCTAGTTTGAACAAGCTGTGAGTATTTAATAATATGACTATTCAATTCCTGAACATATATATGTTATTTCTCTTCAAATGCATCTAACATTTTCTTCTGCAATCTATATATTTTAGGTAATTAGTGATGAGTTCATTAATGTCCATGAGTATATCAAAGGTTTATCCAGCAGTCCAAAAAATTATGTTTCTTGCTATAATGGATATAATGTTAATGGATTCCGATTTCACACTGCCTTCTATGGTAGAAATAAGCGAACAATAAATTATGGTGTCTGTGTTGTCGGATCTATTGGTACTGAATCAGATTATGATTTTTATGGTATGCTTCAAGAAATAATTCAAATTGAGTATTATGGATCGATCCATCGACAGACAGTTGTTTTATTCAATTGTGATTGGTATGAGATTCCTCCTGCTCAAGGGGTTCAAGTGGATCAAAAACATCGATTGGTTGACATTAATCCTAGAAGATATCTTCGATCTTATGAGCCTTTCATTCTTGCTAGTCAAGCAAGGCAAGTTTATTACACACCATACCCATCTATTAATCATGAAAGAAGGGGATGGATTGCTGCACTTAAAATTAAAGCTAGAAGTATTATTAAGGCTCCTGAGAATAAAGATGACCAACAAGAAGGATTAACACCATATTTCCAAGACGATGAGCCTTCTATTCCTCAACAAATAAATATTGATGACATTGCTTATGAACTTGTGCAATATTCTGATGGGAGGTTTATTGAAATACATGAAGAAACTGATGTTGGGGAGGGGATTGGGGAAGAGGATGAAGAAGGAGAATGGGAAGATTTTGAGACATCAGAAGAAGAAAACATAGAAACATATGTTGAGGAGAATGATAGTAGTGATGAGTAGGCAATAATATTGAAACTATTGAAACTTATTATTATATTTATGGTTACTACTTGCTTGTCTGTACTTTTATAATTATATTAGTTGTATTATATGTTATTTAATTTAAAATTGTATAACGTTAATATTACTTTCAAGTTAATATGTGCTTATTTATATTTCAATAATTGTATTAGTTGGAATAAAATTTATATGTTTATGTTTTTATCATATTATTAATTTTATATTTTTTTTGTTAATATTTATATAATTTTTTTATTTATATTAGTTATACTGTATGTTATTCAATTAAAATATAATTTGATTATTATTTGCTTATCTATAGAAATTAAAACTATTTTAATTTTTATTGTGATATTAATAGTAATTTATTTATTGCATTTATATGTTATTTAATTTATACTGTATGTCGACATGTATTTCTGTAGAGCCGGTTCTTCTTGCCAGTGGGAGTTGTTAAACATTGGTATTTCTGTGATCCTGCTAGTGGGATTATACATTAGTAAATCGTGTGCCTGCCAGTGGGAGGTTTATAACACTAGCCATGACCTAGAAAGGAGACGTCTATTTTGTTTCCGTACTCGTACCTATTTTTCGTGATTATACTGGTTGGCATGCTTTAAGTTTAATTAAGGGCTATCCATATTTTACTTACTGAGTTATCTCATAGTTTTTCCTTGTTCACCATTTTAAGAAGCGAAGTCAAGGACAGGGAAAAACGAGGGGAATGACGAGTTAGAAGGCTAGCCACCTTTAATTTGATATAGATTTTAGATATAGATCATGATCTTGTAAGCTAGATTTTAATTGGAAATTTTATAAATTCCTTTAATGGATTGTTAGTTTACAAGAGATTTGACCTTGAGATTTTGAGTTTAAGTCATGTTGGACATAGAATTATTTTGAAATATATGATTTAAGTTATTGGATTGTCATATGTGAATTGGATAAGTTCCGAGTTTTGTGCATTTGTGGGACCCTCTCATGAGTGCATGGCGTCTGCCACGTCCCCGGATTTGGGTTCTGAGGCGTGACATATTTTTATTGTTTATATTTTGTTTACTAACTTTTTTTTTTTTTTTGCAGGTTTCATATTGTAAGAATTTGGTGAATTTTCTCTTATATATCTATTTATTTTAATAGTTTTTTTATATTTACACTTATTTGGGTTATTTTTCTTTTGTAGGAAATGGATAAAATTTCAAGTAAATGGATTATAGGTAATGATTTAATACACTTTTTTATTTTATTTTCTTATAATTTGTGTATTGTATTCTTTAATGTTTACTTATATTTTAGACATCATTATTTATTTACAATTATAATTACCATTCTTGATATTTTTAAAGATATTATTATATATTTTAATATAATGTAATTAATACTTTATATGTTTCGAGCTATTATATAAAATAATTACTATAAAATTAATTTATCTATAAATACACATTTTAAATTCATAGATATATTTAATATTTCATTAGTAAAATTTAATATTGTAATATTTTGTAAATAAGAAGTAAATAAATATTCTTCTTTTATTGCTTTTTTTTATTTGTTTTAACTTTAAATTCGGACAAAAAAAGGTATGTATATACTTTCGAGGTTGCAACAACATGCCAGCAAATATTTTAGCATTTACATCTGAGTCCCCTTTATACGGACCGTTACCGGTTCGGATATGCTTTCGAGTTCACGACAATACGGCAACAAATATTTCATGATTTACATTTGAGTCCCTTTTATGTGGACCGATATCGGTTCGTATATACTTTCGAGGTCACGGCAATAGGGCAGCAAATATTTCAACATTTACATCTGAGTCCCCTTTATATGGACTAGTATCGGTCTGTATATACTTTCCAGTTCACGACAATACAGTAACAAATATTTCAGGATTTACATTTGAGTCCCCTTTATACGGACCGGTTTCGGTCCGTATATACTTTTGAGGTCACAACAATATGGCAACAAATATTTCAGGATTTGCATCTAAGTCCAGTATATTTAGACCGTAATCGATCTGAATATAGTTCTCATTGTCAAACAAAATTTTCACTGTTATGATAGGTTTGTATGTATTCTGATCGAAATCGGTCTGAATATATTTTCTGTAATTATTAAATTATTTATAATATTCTTAATATCCGAACCGTTAACGGTCCGTAAATTTTAATTTTATGCTCACCCCTTCAATTTTTTTACCAAATTATACAGCTCGGTTTTGGTGTGAATAGTTTAATTTACGGACCGATTTTCTATCAGTCCGTATATTTTATTTTTTCATACTAGGTTTTTTCGATTCAACTATATGGATCGATATCGGTCTGGACATGTTTTTTCAGATCGAATTCTTTGTTATACGGACCGAATTTTTGGTCTGAATATTTATTATCTGTAGTAGTGAATGAAAAAGGAAATGATGAGAAGAGAAAGGGAAATGAGAGGAAACAAGGAAGAAGAAGAAAATTTTGAATGAGAGGAGGAAAAGAAAGAATGAGGATAAGAGAAGAAAAGAGGAGAATTTGGATAAAAGGGGAAGAAGAAAGAAGGAGAAAAAGAGAATGAGAGAAATGAGGAAATGAGTGAAATTGTAATACCCCAAAAATTTCTAGAATAAATAAGTGAGTTAAGGACTAAATTGTGAAAAAATATTGTTTTGGGCTTAATAGCCAAAATGTCCAAACTTGAGGACTTAAAGAGTAAAAATTTTGGATAAGGATGGCTTATTTTTTTCCTTCTTTCCTTCTTTCTTCAGCCACCCGATTCTGCTCTTTTTCTTCTTCTTTCCGTCCCCTGCAGCTCCCGAAGGCCTCCAGCCAAGCCGACAGCCTCCCATGAAGAAAAATCGGTAGGAAGCCTTAAATTCCTCCTTCTTTCTTGTCCAAGAACAAGATTTAGGAGCTTAGAAATCTTCTCCCCCTGCTGGAAATCTGGATCTGCTCTGCTCCTTCCTTCCTCACCGCCGGCTGCTCTTGATTGTGGGTGATTTCTGGGCATTTTTTCGGTAAGAACAGCCATTAATCCATCCTTTTAGCTTTGAATTGCCTTGGGTTTACCTTAATTGCTCTTGGTTCCTTCAATTTTTGGGTAGCCTGTGAATTGCCCCTGCATTGCCGCCGGCTTCTCCCCCAGCCAAGCTCAATTTCTGCAGCTGGAAAATTATGGTATGTGGCAGCTTCTCTAAGTGCAAGTTTTACCCATTTAATTGCTGAAATTTAGCCATTTAATTGCTGCCCTGTGTGTCCGAAATTCTGGATTAATTGGGGGAGAAATTTGACAATAATTAGACCATGATTTAGCTTAATTCATGTAGAAAATTAGCTTAATTGACTGCTGTGAGATTTTGGAGAAAATCCCGTGAGAATAGGCTATGGTTTTGCCAATTTTGGAAGTTGGAGTTACTGTTCACGTCGTGGTTACTGTTCGCGGCACTGTTCACAGATTACTGTTCACACACCGAGGGTCAATAATTATCGGGGATTTAAATGATTAGTTTGTGATATAAGAACAAATGTGGAGATTGATAGGAATAGCATCGTGATTAAGGGGTAGTCTTAATGAAGTTTCACTTTGAATTTGTGATAATATAGAATTAATTCTGTTAGTTAGCACTGAGATCGAGTTTTCGGTTTTATGCGAGTGAGGTAAGTAAATTTATGGTAATGCCCGTACGGTTTTTAAAAGCATGTTTTGATTTGTTTTTGAAGTGGTGGCGAGACTAAACCCGTTTTATATAAAAGTAAGTACGACTGATTTGAAGTGTAATTTTTATGCTTTTCATTAAAGTGAGCATGCCTACTTGAAATTTAATTGATTGTCCTTATGATTTGAAAGTGATTGGTGAATTATGATTTTTCTGTTAACTTCAACCTGTTTTGTCTCTGATGTGGTCATGTTATTAGTGACCCTGCTAGTGGGGGAGTTTATAAACGTTAGCACATGTCGACATGTATTTCTGTAGAGCCGGTTCCTCTTGCCAGTGGGAGTTGTTAAACACTGGTATTTCAGTGACCCTGCTAGTGGGGATTATACACCAACAAATAGTGTGCCTGCCAGTGGGAGGTTTATAACACTGGCCATGACCTATAGAGGAGACGTCCATTTCGTTCCCGTACTGTATCCGTTTTTCATGATTACACTTGTTGGCATGCTATAAGTTTAATTAAGGGCTATCCATATTTACTTACAGAGTTTATCTCATAGTTTTTCCTTGTCCACCATTTCAAGAAGCGAAACCGAGGACGGGGAAACCACGGGAAGTGACGAGTTAAAAGGCTAGCCATTTCGAGATTGATATAGATTTTAGAAATAAATCATGATCTTGTAAACCAGATTTTATTGGAGATTTATGATATCAGAGCAAATTATAAAATTTGATCTTTAGATTTTGATGGTATCAGATTGTGAATTTGATAAGTTCTGAACCTTGTGCATTTGTGGGATCCTCTCACAATTGCACAGCGTCTGTCGTGCCTCGAATTCGGGTTTTAGGGCGTGACAAAAATAGTATGTACATATAGACATATTATTATAATTAAGGCAATAATTTTGAAATAATTACTAGAAATTATAGAGGTACAACGAAGGGAATTAAAATTCTTTTAATCTTAGGCAAAAACCCTTATTAAGCCCTTAAACTTTTTCGACAAAAGATGACAAGCTCTTGAACTAAAAATGTAATACCCCAAAAATTGGTGATATTTTAGCATTAAATAAGGGACTTATTTGAGGGAAAATATTGTTTTGGGGGTTAATCATAAAATTTTAAAAAGTTGA